CAGAAACACACACACACACATACACACATACACACACACACACACACGCGCGCACACACACACACCCACCTGTGAGGAAAGCAGAGAAGAGGGGTGAGGCGGGGTTTCTGTTCGTTGTTTCACACAAGCGACGGCTGCCGTGCAAAAACTGATCTGGACACCGCAGGGGCTGTCCTTTTTCTAATCTTGGCACCTCAGCAAACTGCCGTGTTGATGTGCAGGTGCGTGGTTCCAGCGTCCCGGAACCATATCAGCACACTCTGAAGAGCCTCTTTGTTAGATGCCCACTCTTCAGGTGTGGAGCATCTCCCTGCAAACTGTACCCTGTTCTCGCATGTACTAAGGAAGCACGCACACACCCACACACTCACACACGCATGCACGCAAACAGACAGACAGACAGACAGACAGACAGACAGACAGACAGACAGACAGACAGACGGACACAGACAGACACAGACAGACACACCCAGACACAGACAGACAGACATAGACAGACACAAATAGACAGCGACAGACACAGACAGACACACACACAGACACAGAGAGACAGAGAGACAGAGAGACAGAGAGACTGAGACAGACAGACACAGACAGAGACAGACAGACACAGACAAAAAGACAGAAAGACAGCAAGACAGACAGAGACAGAGACAGAGACAGAGACAAGACAGAGACAGAGACAGAGACAGAGACAGAGACAGAGACAGAGAGAGACAGAGACAGAGAGAGACAGAGAGAGACAGACAGAGACAGACAGAGATAGACAGAGACGGACACAGACAGACACAGACAGATATCGACAGACATCGACAGACACACACAGACACAGAGAGAGAGAGAGACAGAGACAGACAGACAGAGACGGACAGACAGGCAGACGGCCAGCCAGCCACACACACACACGCACATGCAGCCACACATACACACCTCTATGCATGCATATGCACACCCACACGCATGCACTCGTGCGCAAATATCAAGGTCAACCCAAATGCCGCTTCGAGGTATCACCGCTCCAGCCTGCTGGCTGATGGGCCTCGGGATTCTTAAGGTTCGTCATCATTTCTGACTCTTAATCTATTGATATCTGTTGACTTCTTTCCACATCGACAAAGTGCTGCGCTGGTTCTGCATAGACGTGTCTGCATCCCGGGTTGATGCATTTGGCACCCTGATCTGAAGTTCAAGGTCTCAAGCAACAAGCATGAGCCGCGCGGCAGTGAGTTCGAGTTTTGCGAGGTGATCGGTGGCTGCGGAATCGCTCCTGAGAGATCCCGACTCAGCCTGAGTGGCCAAAAGAAGCACTTCTTTCATGCACTTACAGGCTTCTGCAGATCCTGACAGGAAAGCACGGCACTGGCAACTCCCGGCGATGCTCACCACGACTGGTTAAGCCGGCATAGGTCGGACGAAGGTTCATACGGCTCCCGGCCAGTCGAGCGCTGTCGCAGCGAGGCGAGACCACGAAAGCAGAGGCGTCCCAGATAAAGACGAAGCGACAAAGACGAACTTCGAGGCTTGGAAGACGACTGATCATGTTCGTGGCACCTGAGGCTTCCTGACTCCTTGACAGGGTTGTGACTTCGCTGTGCTTCCTACGTCTCCTGAAACCTGTGACTGGGCCCCGAGCGAGTGGCTGTAGTAGATGGTGCGCTGCTGAGGCTCAACGGGCCTTTGCTCTGCGAAGTGTAACGGCAACAAGGGTTGACGTCGTCACTGTTTGCTCACTTCAGCTTTTGTTTCTGTGGAGTTTGCTTCAAGGAATTGCAGCTTCCGTAAAGTTAAGTACCGGGAAAGATTCCTCCTGGTCGCTTCAAACTCCGGCTCCAGGCAGGATCTCTAAGCTCCCTCCCTCTTGTAATTCTCAGAATGCACCGCGTACAACAGAGCAGACTTGAGCTGCGCGGTCTCAAGCAGAGCAATGAGCCTGCTCACCCCATATTTAGGCGAGGTGCTGCTGCAAACGCAAGGAACCGGACGGACTGCCCGCGGTATGCTGCAAACGCAATGAGCCGGATGGGCTGCCCCCAGCGGCCACGCGCTGGAAGCTACCACCTCGAATGACAAGACTGATGCGCTTGTCTACATTGCTTCTTTGCTTGCATCCCTGCCTGTCGGCGCCCTGGCCACGAAGCCTCCACTTGCATCCTCCCACCAGCAACGAATCACGGACACGGGTTCTTTCAACCGATGCATGCGCATACTCTGAATCGCTACTAAGAATTAGGATCCTCGCCTTTGACGCAGGGGAGGGCCTGGAGGGCGTGCGGACAACACTGCCGATCGACTTCACGGCGGCCATCCTTCAAAGCCATGCAGGTCACAGCGTTACAGGTGCTTCGGAGAAACAAGACACTAATCCTTTCTAGTCAAGACCCGTGGTATGAAATGGCCGGCACGAGGGCACGACCGCCAGATGTTGTGCCACATGATACCATCCAACCACTGGATGCCATGGAATGCCATGCAGGTTTTTGGCTGGGGTGGGAAAACCACGACGTAGGAAAAAACTGTGCTAAGATTTTACAAACGACAGCGACTGAGCTCTCAGCATCTGCTGTGGCACACTCGGACGACTCGGACTCGGGGATCGAGATAGACCTCGGTTTGACTTGGGAGGGTTTTCTAGGCCTCCGGGACTGAACCATGTCCTTGACACAGCTTAGATAAAGGCATCCTCAAAGCTGACTCCCGGTTTTTCGTGCTGCCTTTCCGTCAGCACGCGACGACAAGATTGATTCCAGCATTTCTGTCGTCAGGAAGGGGTCCAAGGCAAAACAATTTGGAAGAAGGCTGGTGTTTCGGCGCATGGCAAATCCTGAACTACAAAGCTCCTGTGAACTTGGGAACTACTCCGGAGAGCAGCTGCAGTCCACGGGGCTGGGCTGCTCCATGCCACGAGCGAGGTTGCGCGCTATTCCTC